ATGGTCCATCCACTCCTTCTTATCTCAAGGAGAAAATTCAGTATATATCCTTAACGCATGATCGAACTCTGCGTTCCTCATATTGGATTGGTACATAAGTACTTTATGAAGATATTAGATGACAGTTAATAAGGTCAATTAGGTTACTTTTGTTGTTATTTATGCTATATCTATTTGTATTTAAAATATGTATATATTTATTTATCTATTTATTTGTATGTAAATATAATATATTGCCTGTATTTTAATAGAGCAGATTAATCGAGTAATTTTATAATCATTTATTTTTTATTTAACAAAGAGACCAAGATAACAAAATGCTGATAGAAATACGGAAATAAAGTTTACTGACATTGAAGGCATACGAATAGTCTTATCTCATATCTCTTATTATTAAAATGTCCTTCTGATTCTTAACAATATCATAAACGCACGTGTTTTTTTTTGCTTTATACTGTTTGAAATGTAAATCAATACATATAGTATATAAGGCACTCTTTACAATATTCATTTACCTTTTTTACAGGTGGATCGCTTGAAACAAATCTGTACGTCTTGGAGACTGAAAACTTATAGATCTACTCGTAGGTTATAGACAACAATATCAGTCTTATATTATATGTCTTATCATTGAAAATTCCCTTCTGATTCCTAACAATATCGTAAATGTGAATGTTGCCTTGAAGTTGTTTTGAAATAAATTTTTGAAATGATGATGATTGACAATTTGTCTATATAAAACACAAATATGTTTCCACCATTGTCCGTTACAAATTTTGAAACCACCCAACCGATTTTGATGAATTTTGTGGTGTGTATTTGAGTGGATTCTTAAATAGTTTACATTCAGATATAAACCCAATAGGTGTCGCTACTGTCGAGATCCAGATATCATCCTTGCAAAGCCGGAGCGGATTGTAAGTAATAAATACAATTAGTTATAGTACCTGTTTTGTTTGTAACCTTACACAACCAGCTTAAAACACCTTATTTCCCCACTGTTTAATAACTTTAATAAATAGATAAACATGATATTATTTTGTTATTTTGGTATGTTATTGCTTAGTCATTTTGGGTTTAATGTTATTTACTTGGCTGAGGCAACAAGGGGAGTGCCTTGAATCTGAGGAGATACGACAAAGGGGTTCTTTTTAGCGGTTAACGCATGCGTCTTCTGAGTTAAACATGTGTCTTCTGGGGGTCAAACTGGACTAGATTTAGTCGCGCCCAATCCGAGACTCTGTTCAGCAAAGAATCGACTTCAGACACAAGTTTGTCCCGGCACTCGGAGACGTTTTCCTGAGAAATATTGGCTCGGCCGGTGTAAAGAGCATCACCGTAACACCATCTGCATAGCAATGAATGTTACGGGTTTGCAATACATCATTGATATGCAGAAGAAACAGCGTTGGCGATAACACGCAGCCTTGTGGAACACCAGCATTAATGGGCTTGCAATCGGAGCTCGCACCGTCTACAACGATCTTGATGCTCCGATCTGCAAGAAAGCTGGTGATCCAATCGCACAATTTCTCGGGAAGCCCGTAGAATGGGAGCTTCGAAAAAAGCGCTTTGTGCCAAACCCGATCGAAGGCCTTCGCAATGTAAAAACTAACGGCCAATGCCTCCCCCTTGGACTCTACTGCCTCAGCCCATCTGTGAGTTAGGTAGACCAGAAGATCACCATCTGACCGACCACGGCGAAAATCGTATTGGCGGTCACTAATCAGCTGGTGATCATCAAGGTACCTCATGAGCTGGCAGTTTACAATGGACTCCATTGTTTTGGAGAACAAGGAGGTGATGGGATAAGGAGGTGATGGCCGGTAGTTGGACGGGTCTGAGCGGTTGCCTTTTTTAGGGATCGGGTGGACGAAAGCCGGTGGTGCTGGGTTGAAGAGCGTAAATTCCCCTGGATAGCCTTGGCGAGAGACCAGAATGCACGGGTTCCAGAAGTAAGGCGAACTAGTTTCTCGCCAATTCTGCCTGTGTGCTCTGACTTGGCAATGACTCTTTTGAAGGACCTAGAGGTGGAATTAGACTTCTTTTTTAGAGCGCTGGTGTTTACATCCCGGGACGCTGATGCGTCAGCCCAGGCTTAATAGCACTCCTGCTTATAGCATGATGTTATTTTACAGGAGCGACGAAACCATGGCTGAGATTTGCCTCCAATGGGCACCACAGAGGAAGGAATAAAAAGTTCCATACCCTGAAGTACCACGTCAGCGACAGAATCCGCAACAACGTTGTGATCGTCTGGTGAGAAGCAAACCCGCCCCCATCGGTAGGATGCTAAGAAAGACCGCATCCCATCCCAATTGGCTGACCTATATTGCCAAACACGGCGGCAGCCTGCAGAATGCAACTGCGATTTCAGCGTGAGTGGCACCACACTCCGAACAAGACAATGGTCCGAGGAGCCTAAAGAGGTGTCGACAGAAATCTGATATCCGTCCTGGTGAGAGGTCAGCAGAAGGGTCAACAGGGAAGGTGCATGATCCTCCATATCTGGAATCCGCGTAGGCGAAGTAACCAGTTGAGTCAGACCATATGCCAAGGCAAAATCATGAACAGAGCTCCCCGCAAGATCGGTTAAACGTGAACCAAGCCATTCGGCGTGATGGGCGTTAAATTCGCCGAGGATCACGATCTCTGCAGAGGGGATCTGCTGTAGCAACGAATCTGTAGCCATTTGTACGTGGTCGAAGAGTCGGTCTGTTTCGACATTACCGCTATGGGTCCTATAGAGGTACCCGTAGACGCACGGATGGTCATCGCTGTCTACGCGTAGCCAAAGGATGGACAGGTCCGAACCTTCAAGTCTGCCGAGACGTCGAGAACAGATGTCCTCTCTGACGTAAACGCAAACTCCAGCCCGAGTCACAAAGGAATGTTCCAGTTTGTACCCCGGGTAGGAGAGATACGAGACATCAGCCGGAGAGGACACCTGCGTCTCGGTAAGAAAGAGCAGAGCCAGCCTCACCTTCTCGAGTTGGTAGTGGACGGCATTTAGGTTAGAGTGAAGTCCCCTGATATTGCAGAAATTCACGGACAGCGTGGCAGGGGTCGCCTTGGTCTTGTTGCTCCGTTTGCCCCGAGCAGTTGTAGTCTTGAGCGGAATTTCGCCCCCCCCCCCCCCCCAGAATACGTGGGGCAGCCTGAGCACCCACGCTCAGAAGTGGAGAAACATGGTCGTGGGTGCTCAGCGAGGGATTCTCCTGGGGTGCTGGTACCTTCCTAGTCTATCATCATTTAATTCCGCTACCATGTTGATGGGGGGGGGGTATTTGGGCCTCCGGCCACCTGCACTCACCAGACGAAACGCGGAAGCAGAGCTTCCACTTCACGCCGGTATTCTGTGAGGTCGTGGTACCACCCCGGTTTGAGCCGGCCCATACGTGCAACAGCAAAGCTGCCGCGTGGGTCTACCACTGTTAAAAAGGTAATTTCATTACTATAGACAGCCAAATGTACTTCACGAAATAGGAATAGAATAAAATAGGAGACTGTAGTAATTTTGTGGTTGTTTTTCTTTGTGGCTATCAGGTGGAGTTAGCAGACGTGGTAGAGTCACGCTGCAGATGTATGATGGTTTTAACTGACTGGAGTAGGATCACGCCCTCGTAGAATACCTGCGTAATATAGCAGCTTATTTCCACTGTGCCTCGTATGGTGAGTGTACCTTGTTGGTTAAGTTGTTAGTTCTTCGAGCTATATGGCTAGTCCATTATTCAGTTTACTGAACCTTCGAACAACATCAATCAACATAGCTCTAAGAAAAAGATATACCGCACTGAAGGAAAAAAAATTAGTTAGAAGTGAAAAAAGAATTCTTTTGTCAACCATTCTATATTACGATCGATGCTCCATCTGTTTATGTAAGTTTGTAATCGAAAATAATATTTTATGTGATATTACCAAAAAATTAATATTTTTTTATTTTTCCCTTTAAATTGTACAGAACAAGTACGAGACCTTGCTTGCTAGCAAATATTATGATTCTAGGTCAACAGTAAGAACCCTGTAGGTTAAGATGAGTGAAGTTTGCGAATATAAAAATGCGAGACATAAATGGCCGTATCTTTTTGACTTAGAAGCTCGAATGCTTACAATCCTAAGGAACCGTAAACCTTTGTTATGATAATAATTTTTCTATTTGATACATCAACCCGTTACTGTGAAAGAGGTTTTTGCTAGTCGGAAAGACGGCCGAACAGCAAATTAATCTTGGGGGTAGGGATTCTGTTTTTCTTTACTTTATGAGGTACAGAACCCTAAAATATAAAAATGTAATTCAAGCAATGAAGATTATTATTACTCTTATTGCTTAAAATGGGGAGCCATAGTGTAGTACAAAACTTATGGTGGGCTGTAGTATTGATGATGAAATGAAACGACAGTAATGATCATCGTCATTATAGCGTGATCGCTTGTCACGCTAAATTGGTGGCAAAAGAGAGTCGTACGGGCGATTTACAACTTAAATTGTAAAGAGTCCCTCACAGAAAAATTTTAAGAAAAAAACATATTAACTTTGGCATCCCAATATATTTATGAAAATTTAATATATGCACATAAAAACATAAATAGCTTTGATAAAAATAAAAATGCTTATACTTTAAATACTAGGAACAAATACTAGCTTGTAATACCAGTTGTTAGATTCCACAAATTAAGTACCTAGTTAATACATGGGACAAAACATGTACAATATTTGCCAATAAAGAAGTTTAAATGTTTTATTAAAGAAAATTTGTACAAAAAAAGTCATTATAACATCAAAGAAGATATAAAAAAATTGAACCCCGGGAATGAGGTGATCACCACCATGCTAGTTCTATTGTTTTTTTTAAATTACAAAATCATTGTAAGGTAAAATATGTTCAAAAAAATTAATCCCGCTGGGTTTCTTGCTGGTTCTTCCCAGGACAGAAGTATTTTCCAAACCAGGGATAAATAAAAAAAGTTGTTTAATAAGTATTATGTCATGAGAATAAAAATTATCCATTCTCGTTCCCATTCTCATACATCTGAGTTTAATGCAAAATTTTAAAGGTTTATAAATTTGTAATAGATAATTTGTAATTTTCTGAGTCTAGGTGAGTGATTTTTTTCCTTTTGGAAACGCATACAGTCCAACATAGAACCTCTTCCTTTTTTGAATACAGCAAAAACGATAAGATGAAGAAAACTTAACGTTATGTAATAAAGAAGGAGTAATGTTGAAGTATTTTATAAACATTGAGAATGACATTTTAAGAAAACGTTAACGTCTTGCCCCATTTGAACTCATTTCTGTTGAAGTGTCCTTTTTACAAATAAGAGGCAATGAATGACTTACACAGGGACGTTTACAAGCTATTGTTACTTTACCAAGTATCAAGTAAAATATTTAGAGATTATTTTACTTGAACCCCATAATTAAAAATGCACATTTTATCGTTATATACGTTTTATTAGTTATAGTCTGAAATTTGCATTCACAAAACCATAACATAAAATATGCAATTTTTTATTCAAACCCAGAATATCAATTTACCATTTTTTCAACGGGATAAGGTCAAGAACGCGAGCAAACAATATACTAAGGATTGTTAATCAAGTCACGTGGGGAAGCACGGAAACGGCACTGAAAATTGTTTCATGGGTACAAATAGGTATGTCCACATGTGTCTCTCTATATCCGAAACGAAAAAAAAGGTTACCCCTGGGGCGTGCTTTATAGAAACCAAATATGTATTCTTTTGTACTGATCTTATTTTTGTTTCATCAAAACTAACATATTTAAAGTTTAATTTTAACATGAATCAATATGAATTTTATTCTTATTAAAACCATTATTTGTCGCTTGGCGAGTGGGCTGGCAATTGCAGTTTTTATTGTACTATTTCTATTCTGCTTGTTTCTCTCTGTCATCTCTTACGACACTCACGGGAAGATATGGGATAGTGGATATTCTTAACCACCATTCCGTCTCCTTCGTGCTCTAATCCTAAATCCCGAAAAATTTCAACTCGAGTTACAAAACTGTTTAAGTACCTAGAAGACTGTAATATAGTGGACGATATGAATGGCAACCTCGTTGAAACCATCCATGTAGTTGGAGCTAATTTCTGCAAGATCTGCCGTAGAATAACATAAAAGCTCTCCGATCATACTCTTAATCTCTTAATCTCATGGGAAATGAAGCTGCAATCTTAAACAGATTTGAAAGCACACAGGCAGCTATTAAGAACAGACAGATCTCCAAATGAATGAGCTCATACTGAACCAGCGATCGAGCTGAACTAGGACTCCAAAGTCTTTGCGTGAGGTCTGCTAGAATAAGCAGAAGCTAAAGACCTCACATTCGGTTTGAGAACTTCTATAGACAGCTGTACACGTCATCGTTGATGTCACATGCAGTGTAAGTAACGATCCAAGAGCAAGTCTTATCCAACACTATTGCGATGATATCCTGGACGTTAGTTTGAGCTATATTAGAATGGCTGATGAGTGAGTTTCTAAAAATACGTGGAATACCGGTACCTAAAGTCCTTTAGAAGCTCTTTAATTCCTTTCACCATGGTGGCACTACTGCGGAGGCATGGAGCAGAGGTGTGGTGGTCCCTTTCTTCAAGAACGCCAATAAAGCTCTCTTGAAGAACTTTCTAAGCCGCGTCCACTGTTTATATTTATGTATGTTTATGCTATGAATCGTATCGTACGCAGATTTGACGACTTACAGCCTCTTTATCAAACCGGTTTTTGAAAAGGCTTTAGTGTCAGATACCACACGCATTAATTGTACAGAAGACCAAAGAGTACAATTTGCCATTTTGCACGATGTGTATGTATGTAGACTATGAGAAAACCTTTTATTCCGAAATTTGGGCAGTGCTTCTTCCCTACAGCGGAGCCAAATGCAACGTTGGCTATCCCAGTTCAGAACCAGAGTATCAAACCCATCCAACTGCAGAGAGATGTAAGACAGTGTGATGTTATATCGCCGAAACTTCACCGCTGCATTGGAAGTATTTTCGGACATTCTTCGAATCAAATTAAGGGATATCGCATAGCAGCACGTTTTAGTGTAATAAAACGTCTGACAGACGGCTTGCTGCAAGACAATGGGACTATAGCGGAATGTTTCGTGGAAGGGTACCGTAGATAAGAATTGCTTGTAGGTAAAAAATACTTTTGTTTTGATTACACACTTGGCACGCTTTTTATATTGAGCTAAATTTTTAACACATTTTAAAAGTTAAATAAATCGTAGTTCCCATATATTGATGTATTTTATATAATTGGATATTTTAAAGATATTTCTATAACAAAATATTAAAATTTTATATCTGATTGTTGTGTTTTTTTTTTTCATAGAATTAGTGACAAGTGAGCACTCAGCCTACCTGAGGCGACTACATCTATCCTCGATTAGGAATCAAAATACAAATTCGTTATTACCCCTGAAGACTAAGATGGAATGCTTCATAAAGCATTGAAGCGACAGTAGCCTAATGGCAGGGCGCGGACCGCGAACTCAAAAAGGTCGTGTGTTCCAATCCGCCATTCGACTACTGGCGTGAACCACTCGTAACACAAGCAATTTAAGCTTACCACGAGTGGTTAAGGGGAATATTAGTAATGTTTATAGCATTGTGAATATACTTTTTTTTAATCATTAAAAAGGGTCTCCGATTTTCTACCTTCACCATATGAAACACAACAGCATTGAGCTACTATTTTACGCTTATATTCTGTGAGAGTGTGGTTCTTCGACGGTCGAGCCTAACTAAATATTAGTACTACAATCATAAGATAGCTGCAGAATAGCTCTTTCACGTAAAATTCGGACTTCTAATTCTCCGTATTAATGAAGAAATTGTATCATATTTACTAGTAAAATATAAACAGTATTATTAAGATAAGAATAAGGCCGCTAAGCTGACACATCTCATCGCATTGTGTACTAACTATAATTGGAACAAATATGTTTTATTTGGGTCTTAAACTTATTTGTCATTAATTTGTTGAATTTGAGATCAAACTTGAGATAGTCTCTGAATAACTACTGGCCTTAATGTAACATGTGAATAATATATTTTAAATATATAAGAAAAGCACTAATGTGTAGATTACTTAATATGTCACAAATTCTAAAATATTGGTGCATTTTATTTGAAACTTACGACGAAACATAATTAGTATTATAAAAGTATAAATAGTGTATACATATAAAAGACTATTGACAACCGACACCAGAGAGTACTCCTTTTTAAAAGGCTGGCAATGCATCTTGAATTTTCCTGGTTTTGCAGTTTTTCAGCGGTCAACACTTTCCACGAGGTGAGCTGCATGCTCGTTTGCCCCCGCCTATATAAAAAGAAGAAAACGAAAAAACTGAACTGTATTTTAGACTATTAATAAAACTTTGCCTTCGGATTACGTATAAATTATAACAAAAACGTTTATCAACTGTTTATGTACTATTTAAGGGTAAAAAGGCAGTCTTTAGCCGACTTTAAAAATGAGAGGGTTATCGTTTCTATTGTTAGTTTTCTTATACATGTTATTCGATATCGTCGTCAATTATGAAACTATTTTAATTGCTGTTTTTATATTGAATAGTTTATATATCAAGGATGATCAAATATATATTTAATATAATATACATAATTTGGAGAAAAAAAATCCAACCTTAAGAATTAGTTTGTAGCACGGAAGTGAAATAATTTGTATAATATAGTCCTTGTGAAAAAAGCTTAAGCTAAAAGTTTTTGAAATAACTAATATGACGACATTCTAGTTATTAACATGAGCTTGTGATATTCTTTAGCCTACTACAATGTCGAAATTCCAAACCAAATAAGTATAGAGGCGTATAAAGGAAATATATTTTGATGATGTCCCGGTTAGAAATTTAATTTAAAACTATTAATTCCACATTCCTTCCGGTCTCAGGCAGCAAGATCGAGTGGAATGTCAATAGCGTACGCATTATGAATTACAACATGCAAGAACTTATTAAAATACAAAATAACGCAATACAAGATAAGGTGCAGTAATATTTGTTGCAATATAGAGTTTTAAATGGAAAAATATAAAATTAAAATGATAAACGACCATCATACCAATGTGAAATACCAATATGTATATCTGTTGCTACCTATCGTATAGTGAATATCAAGAATCAGATCCTTTTTAATAGTTACGAGCCATTCCATACATACACACACAAACACAAGCACACACGCACACACGCACACACGCACACACGCACACACGCACACACGCACACTCGCACACACGCACACACGCACACACGCACATACACACACACACACACACACACACACACACAACACAAAAGTAACTAATAATACAATATCTCTCAATTGTTAATCAAACAAATAACTTGTTAAGTTATGTTGATAATATCCTGAGGGGGGAGACCCTGGTGATCCGTAACACAGGCTTCCGTCTAGTATAGACACCAGACTCTCAGCCCATAGTGTACACTGTTTATACTCTAACTTGTTAATTTAAATTGTGAGAGTAAATAAAAAAATATTATTATTATTTGGGGTATCTATATAGTTTTCTCATCTGGTTGGGTTCTATAAATATATAATTATAAATGAAAATGAAAAGATAAATATACATAAATATCAATAACATAAAATAAATATAAAAGTACATAAATAAGTAAATGCCCAACCAGATGGAGGCCCTCGGCAGGGGGAGACCAAACGGCCAAGGGTTAGGGGGAAAGGGAAAAAAACCGGCGGACGATGCGGGCGGTATCGAGGAGCACCGCCTTCTGCATTTGAACCTGGAGCGGTCCGCCACGTAGTCCCAGCCGCCTCAGATGACCCGAGAGGCTGACTGGGATTAGCCCGTTTGCAGAGACGACTACAGGAATAATTTCGGTCGGCAGACCACCCCACATGTCGGTCACCTCGTGAGCCAGGTCCAGATATTTTGTTTGCTTGTCTGTTTCGGCTTTCACGAGGTTCTCGTCATACGGAATGGTAATGTCGACCAAAAATATCCTTGACTGTGCCCGGTCCATCAGCACAATATCAGGCTTATTCGCAAGAATAGTCCTGTCTGTGATGATGGCCCGGTCCCAATAGAGCCTGGCGCGATCATTTTCGAGCACGGCTTCCGGCAAGTACTTGTAATACGGCAATTTCCGATCCACGAGACCGTATTTCAGAGCGAGCTCCTGGTGTAGAATTCTGGCTACTAGGTTGTGCCTGTGCAAGTACTCAGAGTTAGAAAGCGCCGAACAACCGGAGATAACATGCCTAAGTGACTCACCGGGATGGCGACAAGCTCGACAGATGTCAACGGTGCCATCCTTTAGGATGTATCTCCGATAGTTGTTGGTCTTAATAACCTGATCCTGTATTGCACAGACAAAACCCTCGGTTTCCCCCGAAGAGATCACCAAAGCGTAGCCAGTGGAGGGAGGCTACTGTGTCTACGAAAGGCTCATGTAGAGCCTTGTAGAACCTCCCGTGGAGCTCCTTCTCCTTCCATACGGTCTCCCGGTCGGAAATGCTCTGCACTGCCAGGTCTTGCCGTTGCCCGTTGGCTAAGGATAGAGGGGTAAGTCCTTTATCACAAGAAATGATGTCCTTATAGAATGGATCATCCGATCTCGCAAGGAAGTAATCACGGAGGCTGCACACTTCGCGATTATGCATGGTGAGCGCGCTCAAGAAGCCACGACCACCATGCTTCCGCGGCAAGTACAGCCTCATTACCGACGATCTCGGATGATGCATCCTATGGGACGTCATGGTAGTGCGGACTTTTCTATCCAGGGCGTTAAGTTCAGTCTGAGTCCACCTGAGTATGCCAAAGGTATACATGAGGACAGGCATGACCCAACCGTTATATGCGTGTGCCTTATTCACACCGGACAAAAGGCTGTTAAGCACTTTGGTCAAGCGTGCATAAAACACGTCGCAAACTGACTGTTTCATACCAGCCTCATCGATACCGATGTTCTGTGACATACCCAGGTATCGGTATGTTTCAGCCTCGGAAAGGGTTCTCAAGTTGACGGGCATAGATAAGTCTATGCCCTCAGAGTTAGCAACCCTTCCCCTTTCAACATGGAGGACCGCACACTTATCCGTCCCTAGCTCCATTCTAATAGAATTGCTAAATTCACACGTGATGTTTAGCAATTCCATAAGATGGGAGCGACTGGAGGCGAATAATTTGAGGTCATCCATATAGAAAAGGTGGGTCACTTTTGTACCTCCTTTCCGAAGCTGAAATCCCCTCCCGGAGCCCTCCAGTAAAGTACTGAGAGGGTTCAAAGAGAGGCAGAACCAGATTGGACTCAGACAGTCGCCCTGGAATATACCCCTTCTTATCCTTATGCGGCTTTCCGCAGCCGTCATCCGCTCGCCTAGATGACAGAGGATCGTACTCCACTGCCCCATACACTGCTCGAGGAAGTCTCGAACTGTACAGTCAATCTTGTACAGCTCGAGGACCCTCTTTAGCCATGTATGGGGCACCGAGTCAAATGCCTTTCTGTAATCTATCCAGGCGGCGGAGAAGTTCCGACGGTTGCGTTTCACCACTTTGCCAATGACCGCATCAATGAGGAGTGGTTCCTTGGTTCCACGACCGCCGCCCCGACATCCATTTTGAGCGCGCGACATCACCTGATTTAAGTCCAGGTGACGAGCGATTCTTGCGCTCAAAATGGATGTTAGTGTCTTGTATATGGTCGGTAGACACGTGATGGGGCGGTATTTGCTCGGGTCTGTGGCACCCTGATCTTTAGGAACCAAATGAGTGATCCCAGTAGTGAAGAGGCTTGGGAGCGACTTCTGGTTGAGAGCCTCTTGAAACTGTCGGGCGAGCACAGAGTGACACACCATGAACCCCTTCAGCCAGTAGTGATGCAGCCCGTCAAGCCCCGGACTTTTCCAGTTCGGGGCCCTACGGACCGCCTCAGCTACGTCATCCGGCGTTATGATGACGGGGTCCATGGGCGTAATACTCGCACACTGACTCGCCACAACTTCCGTCCAAGGGCCCTCGTTGTGGTTTACGGGCTCTGACCACAGGCTGCGCCAGAATGCGACCATGTCGGCCTGATTTGGTGCAGGGCCCGTTCCACTTACTATTGGTCGCTCCAATGATTTATAGAGCCTCTTCTGATCACTCTGGAAGAGACGATTCTGGTTGAACCGTGTCGACCTCTCGGTATATCGCCGAATCCGCTTTCCCCAAGCAGCTATTCTTTGCTTCAGGTCGTCTATGCGCTCCGTCAGTTTTTGCATTATATCCGGCTGGGACAAACTAACATTTGTCCCAGCAAACGCCATCCTGACGGTGCGCACAATCCTTGGCCTGGTATTGCCTGACCTGAAGCATATCAGTCTGCCGATGAGGGCCCTAGCCTTTGCGATACGTTCTTCAATTCTTATTCTCCAGGCTGGAATAGCACTACTTTGTCCAGTAGCGCGTCCAGCCGTGGAAAGTTTGGCACCTATAATACGGCAGACTGCCAGTGCGGCGCCAAAAAGAATTGAGTCCGTATCGCAAAGGTCCCGGCTGGCTTCCAAATAGGTAACCAGCATTGGGTTCAGAGCCCTCACGACAGCCCGATTCCGCTTGCTTAGGGCTAAACGGGGAAGTCGCGGTCGATTTTCGAGAGTCGTACTGCGCGTTTCCACAATCGCCTCTTCCAATGTACTCCTCATTTGCTCTAGTTCCAGTTCCTGGGCGACTGTTCCATCATCGTCATCAACCACAACTGGCGTATTCACGGCGGCATCCACATTTGCCGTTTGCTCAGCAAGTTGTGGCGCCGCATCCTCAGCCGCAGCATTTTCACCCGATGAAGGAACAGCCTCACGTCGTAGCCGTTCGAGTTCGGTGACATCAAATGTATTTGAGCGCAAGATATACCGAACTCGGTCTGCCAGGTTTTGCTCGGTGACGGTTACAGATGGCTCCAGCTCAGCAAAAAGTCGATGCATCCTTGCCCGATACGCAAAACCTCCAGTTTCTCCCCCCTTTCGCCCTAAAATACGCCCGCAATGCGTTGCTGTTCATCTGGGTTGTCCAACGCATGCGGCGTACTCCACCAGTGGCGGGTGCCGATTGCTGAGCCCGCGAGGACCCTGCCGACGTCAAGCCAGATGGTGGGGATGATGGATGCGAGGAGCTGCTGGGTGGTCGTGCAGCACCTCGCGCTCGGCTGGCGGTTCGCATGCTGTCGCGTCCAGCGCCAGCTCCAGACGCGCCCTGGCGACCTCCAGGCAGCGGCCCTTTGCGCGTTCCATTTGATTCCATCATCCATTTTAGGGCGTCATTTAGCGGGAGACGCCCAGACCCGGCGCCGTTTCATGGTTAGGCCATGTGCACAAGCGGGCCTTGGCACCTTCAATTTTTGCCGAGGCACGGCACTAACACCTCTTGGCAAGGTGCTGACTGACTGCGCCGACGTAGCGGTTTTGTCACATAACCGTTATATCAGCGGGCGATGGGGTCGTCACTTCCCTACGCCTTATAATTATTATTATTATTATTATTATTATTATTCCATTCTTATACTTGGGGGTGTCGCCTGAATATGAAAATGGAATACCTAAAAAGTATATACATTTTAATTATTTGGGGGTAGATATAGGTGCTTATATGTCACATCATCAACTTTCATCACAAGGATGCTGGTTCATCAACCTTACTTCTATAAAAAAGTATATCCGTTGTTTATGGCTAAGATGGAATGAAACACGCACTCTGCTTGGCGGCAGAAGTGCGCGCCCAGGAGTAACCAGGAGTCTTACCATTTAAAGACAACTTAATATAAGTTTTATTAGAATTATCAATAGACAGGGATTTTCATTACGGGCGCTCGAAGTTTGAAATGAAATAAAACAACCTGCGTAAGTAGCATTGCTACAAGTTTATGTTATTTTAAAGGATATTAGATGACATTATGTATGGAATATAATTTCAGGCTGTAGGCGGTTTATCCTGGTGGACCAATTGTGGACGATATCTTCGCATAAATGGACAATTTTATGAAGAACGCGAGTTATAATTGCCTTCAGGGCGGCTATTGTCTATGGTTTGTCTACATACGACCGCGTTCGACCAGCGATTTCACGTAACCTCACAGAAACTAGTCGAGTATGTCGATCTCGGTGGATAGTTGATATTGGCAAGATGACAAAGCACTCGAACTTATCAACCAATAAATTAAATTTTTCCCTTGCAGTAGGTAAGTGGCACCGTCCTGTTGGTACCACGTTATTGTGAGATCCATACCATCTATCGTAGACCACGAAAAATTTGACATAATCGTCCCATATCGGTCGTCACAGACAGTGAACGCGGCTCCTTACGTATTTTAGAAGAAATAGGGGTATATGATACCGCCAGACTAAAATCAACACCAAACAGTGACTTTTCGGAGTGTCAAAACCGAATAATTTTGTTTGTTAACAAAACCACTCAAGCAGAAATAATTATCATCGCTGAAGATGATTTTTTTTATTGAAAGCAGGGTCAGACACCTCATGCATTGAAGCCCACTCAGCAAATACACGGTGCTGTCTATGGTCGTTGGCATTTAGCTCTTGAGTTAATTGATCTTTTATAAATTATATACCAAGTCTCAACGCAAAATTCGTCAAGTTGATGTCGCAGAAAAACCCAGCTCTTGCGCACAACGCAGAATACACTGACTGAGGGTTTCTCGTAAACTATCTCGAACGGCAATAATATTTTCTAACGATCTTGTGTTTCTTTGACCTACAAACACTACTTTATCGACCATCGACCCAGAGGACGCTAGGCACGGAACGTTAGGCAAACTGCACTTATTTTGATGATAAGTTTTAACCGCGGTCCATGGTAAAATGCCAAAACTAAATAAGTAATCTTGTCGAAATTGACAGATATCGATTTACAAATATGGCCGTTATAAACTGTCGAACTTCGACCGCCCCTACTGAAAAACCCTTTATAATTTTCATATTAAAACCTAAAAAACATAATATTTCTTATATTGAGTGTTAAGACTAATGCGAAAATTTAAGTCAGTTTGTTCCTTAATCGAACACCTAAAATTTGACTTGAATATTATACCAGACTTCATATTCAGCTGAGCATTAAATCACACACATCAAATTTAAAATTAATTCCATTTCTCATCAACTCCAAATATCTGAAGCCATTTTTATCTACGGTGAAATCACAAGTAAAACGCTGTAATTAGAAAATAAACCCCTTTAAGTAGATTTTTTTCATTGAATATTACATTAATCTCAATGATTAGATCAGTCAATTATATATTATATTAATGTTCGCTTTGCTTCCTTAGAAAATAATGCGAGGTATGGATGTACCACACCATCTGAATGCTTGACGGTCCACCACTGTACGTTTCAAAAGGAGTTTTCTTCCGCGTACGACTTCTCTGTGTAATAGTTTACCACCCGGCGATTTTTCCGGATCGATACTACTAAGGGCCTTCAAGAAAAGAGCTTACTCCTTTCTAAAAGGCCGGCAACGCAAGTGCAATTACCCCGGTGTTGAAGTTGATCATGGGCGGCGGTAGTCTTTTAACATCAGGTGAACCGTACACTCGTTTGCCTCCTCTTCTAAAAAAGAATTTGGATGTACAGAGGTGAGAAATATCCAGGCCGGCGACGGGAAGTATCGTCAAATGTGTGAACCGTCTCGTGCTGCGATCATCAACCTGGTTGCTAAGAGTGAAGGTTAAGGCAAAACCTTCTAACAATTGAAGAAATCCATGTCTAAAATTGTACTTTTACAGGATGATGAAAAAGTTGAAGAATAAATAGGCTAATGTCAAATTACCATAATTAACAATATTTTCTCAGTTCTACACAAGTATATTTGATATACAATACCTTCTCTCAAGGAACGCCACAAAACACCGTCATGATCTCCTAAGCTGCTTGCATTTATCTATTTCTGCATTTCTTACCAGGTTGCCACTTAACCTTATGCTAAATATTTTATATTACCTTATAACTATTATATTTATAAATAATGATATTCTAATTGCCAAACAGAAATATTATGGATATAACTTAATATTTTTTTTATTGGTAAGTCTTCTGTAGTAAACACAGAATGATAAACATTACAAAAAATTTATAAAAAAATATAAAGTGGCAAATGCAGCTTCCTTTACGTGCACTTTTTATATCGTCGCTTATTTGTGGTACTTGTCTTTTGTGAATAGAATCCAAACTACTCTGAAAATACTTTGTACTTATACGAGTTTCACCCAAAAGCGTACAGAAACATTTCAGGAATATTTATCCTTAATTTGAATATTTTAACTCTCTAAATAATTAATACTGAAGCATAGTATAGTTTGAAATTGCAAAAGTTATTAGAATACATCCCATCATTTCAGCTATGTCAAGTTTTTTTTTTGCCTTTCTTGAACAGAGATGTACATAGTTCGCGTGATGTTAAGCGAAAGTCGTAGGTTCCAGATACACGACGTATATTTTCAATATTAATACATCATCTCCATTATTACAGCCTTTTACAAGTCCATTGCTAAACACAGGCCTTCCCCAAGGAACGTCACAAAGCACGGTCTTTAACTAGCTGTATCCATTAACTTGTCTCACCAGGTCGTCACAGCGTCTAGAGGGGGTCCTCTACATTTCGTTTTCCAGTACGAGGCTCCCACTTGAGAATCTTTCTTCTCCCATTGATAGTCAGTCCTTCAAACTGTTCAGTGATGAACGTTGGCCTTTGTTAGATTGTTTTTGTTCATACATTGCTATAAAGATGATTCCTGAGATAACTGCAAGCTTGCGCCCTACGTCGCTAATAGAATGCTAATAGAGAATAATACTTTCAAACGATTGTTGGTTCTTAGAACTAAATAAGCGGTTTGTAGATATGTCCATTGTAAATACTACCACTCAAAGAAATTTCAAACATAACCATGTTGTTGAGAAATTATATTCAGATTCAAAACCATTACTGTGGTTCATATGTACAACGACGTTTTCCCATTGCAAGTATAAAACTGCGGTTTCAATATTTCTCATGTCGACAAGTAATGCAAATGGATTAGTGGTGAATACAGAGCTACTGCTAAGTAATGAAAGCGGGTTAGTTTATCCAATTTAAAACTTCTGCATTCAATTTTACTTTCATTTTATATAATATAACTGTGAATAAAGCAAATGAAATTAAACTTACTCTAAAAAATGTGAGTACATTACTAGAAATATAAAATATTATAATTTCACACAAAATATAAAAAGAGAATTGAAGTCTTTATATCTAAAGTTCTTATGTTATCAAAGAGATACTCTCTGAAGATCGTACAAGTTTATGCCCCGACCTCGGCACATTCGGATGACGAAGTAGAAACTGTCTATGAGGACATTTCTAGGGCTTTACGTAACAACACAAAGGCCCACTACAATGTTGTTATGGGAGATTTAAATGTCAAGGTGGGTAAACACACGGGCGTCGAATCGATTTTGGGACACCAAGGTTTTGGAAGCAGGAATCAGAGGGGGCAAATGCTGGTCAACTTCCTCGAGAAAGAGGGGCTATTTCTGATAAATACGTTTTTCGCGAAGAAGCCACAAAGGTAGTGGACCTGGCGCAGTCCCGATAACACTACAAAAAAAAAATGAGAATGACTTCAACATGACGGACAAAAGTCACATATTCAGAGACATCTCAGTGATCAACAAATTCAATACCGGACGCGATCACTGACTTGTTCGAGGCACTCTGAGTATCAATTTTACGCTTGAAAGGTCCCGATTGGTGAAGTCTACGATTTGACCAAATCTGTTTCAAACCGTAACTGGCTCCCAACGCTTCCATCTAGAACTTAAAAATCGATTCGAATCCCTGAGACCCACTTCGGATATTGCCGAAGAACTGAACAGCGTGATTAATATCTTAAGGGATCAGGGCAACAGGTTTTGTGGCAAACAACATACCGGGGGCCGAA